GTAGTAATTTACATAAATGGACGTGTAAAGCTGCATGGTACAAAAGATTGCATCCTCGCTGCTGATCCGATTCTTTGACCTTCAGCTTACGTGGTAAATCATCGTAGTTATTTGAATGAATTGGGACCACAGCAAAGAATATGACACACGTAGTTGCCACAAAACGCATTAAGGACCACGTCATTTTTAAACCACACTTCGAAAACATTTAAAACGCACTGACAAGAAATCGTATGCATTTTCTTCCATGAAATATTACATTTTTATATTCGACTTGGTAAATATTTTGTTAGGTGTTAATGTTTTTAATTGACATCGGTTTTATATTATTTTTTTAATGCGATAGCCTGCAAATTGTACAAACAAACAAAACATTTTTCAATAACACACGTCGGCTCGCTATATTTTACTCTATTTTAGATGTATAATAAAAATAAACATTTTCAGTCGTCCTCCAATTTTCAATTTTCATCCTATCCTAGTTTATCCTTTTTTTACTGATTTTATTCCAATCTTATACATAAAATGTAAGAATGTATAATTATGCGGATCGCAGGGATAATATTATTATGTGACAACTTTAATTAAAAATTGTAAAAAGTTTTAAAACGGTCGTAGTACTTACAAATAATACGTATGAACACGAATGAGCAACACAAATATTATTGACAATCACTAGGTTTTTAAACGGCATCTATATCGATTTTTTTTATGAACGTGTAATACTATTAGAGTTTACATAATTATTCTATGGTTTTTTTACCAATTATAAACCGTCATCATCTACACGTGGCTTTTATTATTTTTAAGACATCATATGGTAATGTATCAGTAAAATTATAAGTCGTAAGTAATTCCAAATCATGGTGTGCACTCGTTGCATTATCACCTGAAATTTGAGTCGCATCAAATAATAAAATGACGCGTATTAAAACCGTACAACGTGTCGTAATTTTGAAACCGAACATTGGAAATGCCGAATGCGTAATAGAAAACTTTTACCGTTAACACAATCAAAATTAGTAAATATTTCATAAAGTGTTGCTTTTATTCGTTTGCTGTTGATAGTTGCGAAACGAATACAATTTTAACAAGAATATTTTTCATATTATTTAAATGTATAATATAATATATAGTTATCCGTTAATTATTGCTATGAAATATATCAACGAACAGATTACAGACAACTTTATTATAGAACAACAACAAAATTATGGCGTACCGTGTTTGAGAAATATGTACTTTATAGTTGGATGTTTTTCTGTATTTTAAATTGGAAAAAGTGAACTTATTTAAAATTGTCTACAAATTTAACTTTATTTATTGATATCGTTTAAATGATATCGATTAATTACAAAACTGAATAACCTCCGTGACAATACATTTAAATTCAGACAATACACTTTAGCTTCGATGCAAAGCGGAGAAGGTATTGGTTTTACTCTGATTTGTGTTTTTTACTGTGATCTTCATAGATTACTTTCAGGGCCGGCGTTATGATATATTGACGGGGGGGGGGGGGGGGGTGTTATCAAGTATTTGCCGACTGAAAAAATTTTGACCTGTAATTTTTTAAAACCAATATATTTAAATAAATAATTAACTGTAAGTAATTTTAAAATTGTGCCAAAACGCCTTGAAAGTATTTTGAAGAACTCAAATATTTTTTCAAAACTTAAATTGGAGTATTCTTAGGAACATTACATTTGAATTAGAATGAGTTGTTTTCGACCAAAAATACGCAGGCCCCCTAAAGGGTTATATTTAATATAATTTGACTTGGTGATAGATACACTACCTACTTACAATTCAAATACATACACTAAAAAAACTTAAATTTGATAAGCCTAATTAAAATTTCAATTTTCAGTGTAGACATCGTTTCAAAATAATGCTATTTTGATTCCTCGATTTGGGAAACACTGTTATTGGGGGGGGGGAGGAATTCTGAGTCAATACAAATTAACATCGACCTTCCGGTATCGTCATTTATAGTATTTGGTCCACCTAAAATATCACGACTGATGACGGCCGTTTTAATCAAATCAATACCCTGTCGAATGGATAACGTAAGATGTATATGTATATAATTCTATAATTATATTTTTTTCCCTTCACGGATATTTTATTTCAGTACCATCCATTGACTGTAATAATAAAAATAGGCCCACGAGTGATGAGTATTAAAGATAGCGATAGCATACAGACGGTCGGTACTCGGCACTCGGCAGTTGACAATTTACCGACTCGAAATAAAAATACGGCCAACGCCGATTTTAATCATTTTTTTGATTGCCCAAAACAAATCTGGGAAAACAGTTTTTAAAAAGTCGTATAATTGCCGACGACTCTTTGCTATTAAGAAAATGCCGACTGTTAACTGGGAAAAATCCAAACGGGGGGGGGGGGGTCGAGACGACCCACCATACCCCCTTTGCCACCAGCCCTGGTTACATTAGTTGTTTTGTATGATTTTAAACATTTCAGTGCTTGAATATAAATTGAAAATATGACGGTTCAATGATACCATAAATATGACTTACAATAAATCAATACCGTCCGGCGCCCCATTTACAAATAAAAAATGAAAAAAATAACTTGTTTACACATATTGCCGTAAAAAGTGAAATAATAATGAAAGCGTATTGTTGACAGTACAGTAGTTACATTTTTTACAAACAAATGTTGTATCTTAAATCTGAAAAGAAAATCGTAATTATTTATGAGGGTCCAGTTCCATTATAGTCGGTCATCGGCCCAAGTGTCTTGAAAAAAAACATCTAAGAACAAAAAAAAAATAATTACTATACTCTTTTGAATTTTTGTAAGGTAATTGTACGTATTTAAATATGAAAACAATTAGCCTACAAAATATACACCTCATTAATTTTAAAGACATATTAAATAATTGTGATGTGAAAGGCGAACCTTTTGTCGCCAAAGTTGTTTTCGACAAAAACGCCAATACATTTGCAAACTTCAAAGTGCATTAACATGGTTATTTTTTAGCCACACAAGTGTATTAGGCTCGAACTGTTCCACAATCAATCAACATTGAGACAAAACTCCGACAAGGGTCCCTTTTTGCTTTCCGCATTACAATTTTAGACAATTATTGGTATTAATCTTGTTGTATAAATTGTTTAAATGTATTTATTTTCTAGGTTTTACAGTTAAATAACTGTATTGTTAATTTACATTTTACATTTCCTCTTGGTAATAGTAAGACGTACCAACTCCGGCGCAGATCTGTTCGTCTCCAAATAAAAATCACCACGTGCACTAATAACAAAACACTCTATTGACTTTGGATTGGTTTTTAGGCGCTTAAAAATTAGCTACTCGGGGTTGGCATCGTGTCCCATATAAGATTGATATCCGGAACTGCAACCGCCATTATTGAATTCATCCCAAGAACCGCATTCTACGGCTTGCATAGAATTTCTGTGGTAAACGGAATCGGCGTAAAGTAAGTACGCCCTCGAATGACTGCAGCAAACTAAAAATAATAAAGCACAAATTTAGCGAGACATAAGCGATCACAACTTACGGGGTAGTAATATATTATAAACATCATTGTCAACCCATGCCGAAGGCACCTAAAATAAACACTAGGTTGTATTAATAAGCAATAGGAAAATTTGAGATTATTAATTGAAGACCGAAGGGCTAGACAATTTTTAAGGATAGATCTGAGGAGGGTTTGACCCCCATGACATGAAAATAGTTCAACTTAATAATATAAGATAAAATCCTGGCCCAATCTTTGTTTAAAAATATTGTGTTATATCATAATGTATCCATGTATTTAATAAACTTGGCAATTAACATGGCGTACAGGGGTCGAAATTGTAATTTTTGACTTCCGATATTGGTAGCTATAGAAACGCCACGTTTTCACGCTTTGGCTATTAACTTATTTCTCAACATTTGGGCTTATATGCGATTTTTTATGCATATTTTAAACTTTTTTTAATCGCCTGCGTATTTAAGTGTACATGTCAATAGTTTTATGATAGAAAAAAAAAAATGTTTAGTCGATGAGGTTGGCTGAATGACAATCTAGCATCGCACTGAATTGGTTTAAACAATGTGCATGCGACATGCGGCCTGTCATTTGTACCTGCATATTATTTTCGGTTTTTTATGCCATACTACCTACATGTATTAATATCAATATTATGGAAACATTTATATCTGACTGCGTACAAAAATCAGGGTCACGACTGATGTGTAAATATGTTTACAATGTCTATGTATTTTTGTTTATTTTTATTTTCAATTATTGAAATTTTGACAACGTCGCGTCGCTAGCAAACACTGGTATGACGTTGAAATGTTTTGTCTATCTACTATTTTCACACAAAATCAATAGGTACAAGGTTAAATAAAAAAAGCTATTTAATTTGCAAATCTCTAATGGCACCAGGAAAGTTGGGAGGCCGATGGAAAATTCACGTTATTAAACCAGAATAGGTACTTCTCAACTATGGTCTTTTGGCATACGTGGGTTAGTCATATGGTGGCTTCATAATTATTAACGCTGAGAAGATCTCGAAACCCTCCTATTATCTGTCCAGTTTCCCGGTGCTACTCATGGATGATTCTAATATACAAGATATATTTCTTTAAAAGTTGTTATAAAATAGCGTGAATTCAATTCGACTACATGTAACCTATGTATGAGTTTATTATCTTTCTTTAGTTAAACTGTTTTTGAAAGAAAACCAAATTTGGAAGGGCATATTTTGGTAATTTTTGGACCATGGCAGCTAACCTAACATCACTATACTTATAACGGCCAAAATAAAAACCCTATTAACGTGAAACACATACATTTACTGGCTTTGAATATATCCATAGGCTGAAACCCATTGAAACATCCTGGTCGAGGCGCCTTTCCACCGTCGGGGCGAAAGTCAGCGTGTCCAATCGATTTTGAATAACCTCCCGTGCCTGCAGATGAATGAATCACGTCAACAAATAAAGCATCAGTGGATCTAAGACGTTGGGTATTTATTTTGAAAATTTCAAATTCGGGACACGCCGGATCTAGGGCTGCACAAAAAACCGATTCACGGTATATATTGAATCATATTATAATATAATACAACACTTTAATGTTTTTTTACACGGCACAGTCCGCATGTATATCACCTGTTATCCTGCCGATTTGGTCTGACCCAGTGAAATGTGAACCGATAACTCCTGCGGTGTGGGCGCCCAGACTATGTCCTATTATATGAATGTCCTTTAGGCTGGATTATTTCCAACTGCATTATGTTGTGTAACAGCCGAGCTATGATAGCGCCAACTTCTTTGGTAAAAAGGGCAGCCATCGGGTAAGTTTGGCTATTGGCCAATTCTACCCAGTCGGCCGTTATCACGTTAAATCCTCCAACATCCACGTGTGCTTTATAAACACACCAATAATAGTTGTAAAATGTTGGAGAAAATATAACCCCGCTAGTGTACAATAGAACATTGGTCATTGAAAATAATAGCTGTATACGTTCCCCTATGTGTTTTTGACCAAGTACACATTTTCGACAAACTAAGCGTTACGGTTTTCAATTAATAAAGTATTACAAGTATAAAAAAACGAAACAATATAATATATTATTTTGTTTAACCTTTTTTAACGCAGGTAACGCCGTCGTCTTCGTACTCGGTCGAATCGAGCCAACCGTGAACGATGATTTTGAGAGACAACCCCTCAATCCAATACTTAAACAATTCTTCTTCCTGATTTAATTTTAACTCCGCTGGATTATTATTTCCGCAATTTCTAAAATGCGGCAGTATATACAACAATACAAATATTGAAAATATAATAATAATATATACTATAGGTGTACATAATAACAAAAGAAAATTAATAGACGATTATTATATTTTATATCATTAAAACATTACAAAAGACCCAAAAGCTTATGCAACTCAATGAATTAACCTAAGAGATTTACATTATTAATTGTCATTATAAAAACCTAGCGTTGACTATTAAAATTATAACTGTAATTATTGTTGTCTACTTAGTTACATGGACCCTATTAAGCTTGTAAAAGTATTATACGTACAATATAATTTTCCAATGACACAGCTCAAATTTATGCTGTAACACGCATCGAAATAATGATTTTCCAATTAGCATTTTGACAACTAAAAGAACAATAACAAATATAATGCATATGGACTCATCACCGGGAGGAGGCCTAGTTTGGTAACATTTTTAGTTTGCACCGCATTTAGGTTTCAAGATAGGTCTAAGGAGGATCGGTTGATAATTGATAAATGAGGCTTTTAAACGCTTCTATCTTTAATCAGAGGCAGGGGTTTCTACAGCTAAAACATATTGTACGTTAAATTTATTATCTAGCCTGACGTCCATAAGAAACACATTACTATCGTAAACTTTATAGCGATGCGTTTGACATTTTTATAATTTTCAAATTTTAGGTCTCAGCGGTAATGAATGTCTATAGAGTGACTGAATTCAGAATAATAAAATGCAGTGTTAAACTCCTACCATAGTAGAAAATATTGTGCTACCATAGTCGAGTTAAGAGTTAAATATAGAAAACACAGTAAAACAAGCTGAGCAAAAGTCTGTTGTGATGCGATGATGATTGTTATTTTTGTGGTATACCGTAGAGGGTTTATTTAAATATTGCATTATTTTGTTTCTTTACTATAATATTTAACCCCAAGGGTTGCTTAATTTTTTTCTAGGTAAAAAACACAATTTAAAAAAAAAATTCATTGGAAACCAATCGGCGATTTCTTATTTTCGATTTGTATCTACTTAATTAACTGCATTCACATTAATATTGTTTTGAAATTAAACTAAATTTCAGTATTTTAGTATTTTACACGTGTGTACGTACGAATTCCAGTAGAGAAATTTTACATGTTTTTCTGTGGCACCCATCACTGTCGTTTCGAATCCCAACTTTTTTTTTAATGCCAGCGTTACCAATTCATGAGTGATTTGCCATCCGGCACCAACATCCGCTGTAAAATAATTGAATTCATCATAACACAATATTATTAGCGTTCCGAAAGACACACAAAAATACACTACAGAAAGGTTTTTGATATTTAACCGTGTTCTGTTGACGTTGTGTAGTTGTATATTATATATAATATTATCATAATCGTTTGTCTAGTGATGTTGCTCCGGTGCCCTATAGCTGTTTAATATTAATAGTATTGTGTTTAAACTAATGCATAACATAATACCGTTGCAATTAGCCGTGATCTGCAGAAGAATGACTACGGTAATGAACATCGTAATACTTGGAATGACGTGTAGCAGTGTTCTAAGTATGTCTAAGTACTATTGACGTCTGCCAGCAATTGCCCCATATAAGTTCACTTCTCTAAATTATTCAGTCACGCCGTTATTGTTATCCAATACAGGTGCCGAATACGCGCGTTTGGAAACAAATGGCGAACCGCAATAGGTATAATATTATAATTATTGTTATGTACTGTCTACTGATCTGGGTTGAATGGGAAATTCGTATGTGCAATTAAAAATTGAACGACAAAAATGCACACTTGCCAGTGTTTGGTAACATGCGATTATCGCGATTATCTACAAATCTATTTTAATACGACTATAATGCAATACTAGAATTGGGTACATATTACACACACGCCAAAATCAAAAACAAATTCATATTATATCATCACTTTAAGTTTAATATTGTCATGTTATGTTCATTGCATTGGTTTGTCCAAAAAATAGTAGCTTATAAATGTAATTAATAAAGCTTGGCATTCTATTTACTTTGTAATTCAATTTGATGCAAAGTGCCAACGTAAATTTGTAAAAAGCTTAATTCTAAATAGCTTAATAAATTGTTGGTACATATGTATTAAGTATCTTTCAGGTGCTGATCTGTAGATGAACTACATGAGGAAATGTTTCAAAGGTTCACAAAATATCATGGTTCGAAAAAACACACATAATTGTAAAAACAAGCTTCAGCTACGCATTGAAACTAATATCACAAATTGTTTCTACTTTGTAATTAAATTTGATGCAAAGTGCCAACGTAAATTTGTAAAAAGCGTAATACGAAATAGCGATAAAATTGAATACATTTTACACTATTTTTTTCTACGGTGAAAAAAATACTACATATGTTTCATTTTATAATCTTTTTTTGTTTAATTTCAAGTAATAATTCTAATAATTATCCAATAAAATGTTTAAAACCAGAATTTATATTATAGGTTTTCTAACTTGTGGGGAAAGCGCAATTTCTTGTGTGCAAAAATCTGGACCAAAAACCATGTTATTTTTTACTATTAAGATTAAATGACATTATAAAAACGGGGTAAAGATTATTGTGTATTTTATTAAATAACAAAGAATAATTAATACAAATTTCTAGATAATATTTCTAAATATAAGTTTAAAAAATTATTTCAATTTTTATTTATTTATTGAAAAAACTGTTGCCGGCATAACTTTTACCTTGTTTAACTCGAAAAAGGGACATTCTTTACTATTACTGTATATTTGACTGTGTACTTATATACTTGATTTGATTGGTATGCTGACATATTTGTTTTTATCATTGCATATTTGATGAATATAAGGGTATATGTGCAATAGGTAACCTTGTATATTTCACTCATGATTTAGTTTTAACATTAGTTACATAAATTCATTTTTTATAACTAAAAAAAATAAACATGATCGTATTACTCATAAATAATTTTAGAAAATCGAAATTTTAGTGTTTAATCACATACATTGATACATTGGTATCTGCTCGGTTATAAAGTGAGCTATAATATATATATATATATATATATATATATGTATATAAGTATAAAATAATACACTTTACATTATTGTACTAAATATAATAACAATAATTCTAATAACATAATTTTGAAAACATTTTTACCAAGTGTCTTATCCAAATACAAATATTAATATACAACTTCAATGACCCGGGTTTTTCACAGTAAACCTAACAGTAGGTGCAGAAAATCAAGAAGAAAGTCATGTTTTCACGGTCGTCCGACGTGAAACATCAAATAAAAATCCGCATCACAATACTTTGCAAAAATTAAAGAATAATAATCACATCGATTATCAAGACTAAACACAATTTTTAACTTTGTATTAATTTAATGTCTTAAAAGTAAATAATTTTGTCATAATATGAAAAATATTTAGTACAGTGGGCCGGCGCATATTGGGTCGAGGTAGGTCACAGGTCCACAGAAATTATTATAACTATAAAAGTGATAGAAATACAAATATCGATAAAAGTGTTGAAATTGCAATAATATGCTTAAAATTGTATTTTTACTTTTAGGGTAGTTACGATTAAGGTCTATACGTATGTCTTCATTAATTTAATGCCGTTGTTGCCCATTTATCATTTATTTACAATACAATGAAAATATTTTTCTGATGCCTATTGACTGTGAATTTACTCACAAATAGAGGCATAGAAATTCACAACGATCAAAGTGTAATTTTCCGCTTTTTTTTTTGCTTTTTTAATATTAAAAAAAAATATTGACTTAAGATTTTTAAAAAAGTTATAAATATTATAGTTTTACTCTAGGTTTACCTTGGTTCTAATTTTTCTAAAACTGCTCGAAAAAGATAACTAGAGAAAAAATGATCATCCCTTCTAGGGTGAAAGGTTATGGTATTTTTTTAGGTTTGTCAACATTTTTCAATAATCCTAAAAATGTTCTTACACATTTGGAACTAATTAAAATATTTGTAAAAAAAAGTTACAGAGCGCCGTAATTGAGGAATTAAAAGAACTTTTAAACTGTTGGTACATATTTATTAAGTATCTTTCAGGTGCCAGTTCTGATCTGTAGATTAATTACATGAAGAAATGTTTCAGAGGTTCACAAAATAACATGGTTCGAAAAAACACGTAATTTGTAAAATCAAGCTTCAGCTTATATCACAAATTGTTTTGTTTTTATATTTATACAACCTTCAATTCAACTTTGAACTGTAAAAACAATTAGTGTCTAAAACATAAATTAAATTAAATTCTTATTTCTAAGCTCTCGGCTTCGAGCTGAATAATAAATAGTTATTTGAATACGCTTTGTTATTAAGAGTAAATAAAATATATTTCATCAAAAATTTTACTTCAACATTATAGGAGAGTGAAACTATCTCAATAGGTAACCGTAATATTATGGAAGTACTTAAATAGTATTAATAACTATTACATACTTAATAACACACATTATAATATTATTATTAGATAGTCCCGTTCAAAAAAAAATAACTTAAGATTAATGGAAAATTGGCCATTGGCAATTATAATTGGATTAAATATATATTATGTATCTTAAAAGTCAAACACTGTTTGAATTATGTTAGCAATCTTGTTTATCTCATATGGAGGAGAGCTTGCGGTCTCCAAATAGAAATTACCACTCACACTAGAAACAAACAACAGACATTTAAATGCTCAATAATGAACAAATGTTCAAAAAAATACTAACACAAATACGGTATGTTATATTTAGTTAATATTAAAATATATATGTATACATGGGTATATTTAATTCATTTACTTGTATAAAATTTCGAAAATCACCATTTTTCGGTATTAAGTTATATTAAGATAAATTTAGGATTTTTCGTTACTAAAAGCCAAAGAGTTCTTTTTTAAAATTAATTCATTCGCTACAAAATGTACCAAATGCAAGAGTGTATTTGTGTATATGGACAGGCTTTAAGAATGAGTTAAAAATAGACTTGAACCCATATTTTTCGATTGTTTAACATATCATTATTATTCAGTTTAAAAATATTGGTAATCCAATATAACAGCTTACTTCCGTGACGCGCTGTGTCCCATGTACGTTTTCGGATTGTTTTCGCAATGACCTGTTTCGTAAAAGTCCCACGATGCACATTTTGTGGCCAACATAGACCGATTGTGATATACAGAGTAGGTATACAATTCGTATGCTCTAGCGTGAGCACATGTCACTGGAATAGACAATAAACAAGTAAGTATACGAGCGATGACCCGAATGAACTGGAGCGCCGAACCCCTTATACCTGATCTGAATAAGGATGGGTTGTAAGGAAAGGTAATATTATAAGGAAACCAATGCTATGGTACTGCTTGAAAATAACTGAAAAAACTTTAGGGGTACAGATTCGGCGCTACAACCTCCAAGTACATGTAGTATGTATAATGATGATTTACCCAAGCTAAAATATTCATTCGGATACCAACCAACCAACCAAACCAACCAAACCAATACGAACAACCAGGCTGTGAAAAAACTCCTCCGTTCGGGAAGAAGTCCACGTGCCCTAAGGATGATGAATACCCCGCCGCTCCTGCTGCCGTGTGAATAACATCCACGAAAAGGGCGTCGGTTTTGTCCAAATGAGGGATGTCGCCCTCTTCGAAAAGGGGCCACGCGGGATCTAAACCTGAAAAGTCATATTATTATACAACCGATGTAAGATTATCGATCATCGTTGTTTAGATCTAAACACACACACACACCTGTTATTCGGCCGATTTTGCCAATTTTGAAAGCAGCGCCGCAAGCTCCACAAACGTGGGCGCCTAGACTGTGGCCAATCAAGTGGATTTTGCCCGAATCGAGAGTGACCAACTGAACCAGGTTCTCCAGCATTTTAGCCATGACAGAGCCCACCCTCGGCGTCTCTGAAGCCGATTTGGATAATACGATTGGTTGCTAATTCCGCTCCAGTCCATAGTTATAACGTTGAACTTGGTAACATCCACGTACGCTAGAACGACAGTGTATAATGAACTTAAAATATGATATTATATACAAGCAACTAGTAAATATAATATAAAGCTCTCTACAGCTTACACGAGCATTGATAAAGTTTAAAAAATAAGTCAAATGTTATACTTTTGTCAGCCATATTTTGCTGTTTTTACAAATAGTATAAATTGATTGTCAGTTATTGCTATTTGATAAAAAGTGAATAATATATATATTATGGTCGAACTTTGATGGTTTTACCCGTTTTAATCTTAAATACTCCATAACAGTTTAGAATCGTTGCCCGCCAACCGTGTACCACGACTTTCAGATCTTCTCCCTTTATCCAATATTTGAGCAAATCCTTTTCTTGGCCTATCGTAAATACGATGGGATGTTCGTTTCCAAGATCGCTATTCAAATTAAAGTAATCAAATTAAAAGTGTTATACAAGCTTATTAACGAGATCCACCTGTATGATCTAATATTTTGAGGGGAAGTCATATTATAATCAATGCCCCCCCCCTAATGGTTCTAAGTATCATAAAAAGTCTAATTTGTACATGAAAATAAAAAAAAATATTGATTAACATACCAAACTGTTCAAACTCAATACTTAACAATGCCACTATTTATTTTTTATAATTCAAGACCTTGGGGCAACAACTAGACATGTCTGTTTTTGCATGATTGCTTGCAATATAATTTACTTTTATTTAGTATGACAGTCCTAGCATTGATTTTAAATACTAGTATTTATAACAATCAGTGATTCTGGCTTTGGATTAAATTTTTTAATTATTCGCAAAAGTAGGTAAGCAGAAGACTGAAAGTATGTTTTTAAAACTTTATTCTCTATTAACTCTGTCTAATTTTGTATTGCTTAAAATTTCAGGTATCTAGGCGTATAAAAAATAATTTATTAGGTATCGAACAATCAAAATACATTTCAACAAATTATTCTCTGTTCAATTAGTAAGTAGTTAGTACTAATATGGAACTGTTTAGTTTTTAAACGTTATTGGAACACTGTAAGTAATGCAAAGCGATTTGGCACGAATACACGAAAACGTGTAGAATTTTACTGGTAGGTTTGTTCTTTTTTTTAGATTTGTTCCTTCATTATCGTCTACCCTAGTTAGTACTGTATTTATCTTAATAATTCAAATGATAGACAACTTGTGAACACTTCATAATCAACAAATATACAATAATAATTGCAGCTCGTTCAATACATACCGATTCCAGTAGGAAAATTCGTAGGGAGTGTCGTCGTCGGAAAATAACGTCCTTAGGAATCTACCTCTTTTTGCCGTTACTTCGGTGGCATTTCCCGTGTTTTCGACCGCATTTTCCGTATTTTTTAAGACATTTCCAGCTGTGCCAATGTTTAATTGAGCTATAAGAACACAAACAGGGTTGATGCGAATCGTTCAATTCGATTAGGCGACGTCCTAAGAAGTGAACCGTAAGTCGTTGCAAATAAAAAAAAATGAATCGCTTTCTTCTATATTTGACAGTGCAAGATCAAACATATAAGTGTACGATCACGTCGAGCAAGTAACGCACTTATTTCCCAACAATAGGTACATTGTGCATAGCGATTGGCGTGTAATGTATTTTATTTATAATAAAATTAATTAATAGATTTTTTTTTATTTTGTGCGTTTGGCGTTTCCTTGATTAAATAGTGCAAGTCGGTTGACAGCTGTGGTACAACTATTAAAATTAACTTGCAGGTAAGAAAAACAAACTGACCGTCGCTTAGGTGGAATGTGACCAGGACTAACGCTATGGCTACGATCATCTTAGTTGAAAACTTGACCTCAGAGTGTATAACGATATAAGCACCTCATCCACGACCAACGACCACTGTAATAAAGTCATTGGTACGAATATTACCGACTATTTATTTTGCCGATAATTACATAAAAAAAAAAAAAAATGAATACTACGGTCTAGGATATATTAGTTTTATTTGCCGTCATTTGTTTGTTAATCTGTTCGATTTACAAATAGTTTGTGGAACAATATCAGATACCTGTCTGTAGTCTACATTAAACAAACAAAAATTACGATTGGGAGAAATCAAACACTGACCTGTTTTGTTGACTTATCGTCGGCCGACAGAAAATGAAGGTACACAAGAGGCCTAAATATAGGATTAAACTGGTGCACGTAATTAACATGCATTTGAATGTACATCTCCATTGCGTTATTATTATAACGTTTCCCTATCAAGTGCAATCGGCTAATACTGTCTGCCTATTTATACGACAAACACAACACATACAACAAAGTATCCAAGTAACTCCCCTTTACCGCCATTTGGCGTGTATCTAACGATGGCAACACTCTCCCATACTATGCCAGGGGTCTTAGTATGAAACCCAGAGCCGTAACTAGGGTGAGGCGAGCGAGGCGCTTGCCTTGGGCGCTTGATGCTGGGGGGCGCAAAAATATTAAATGGAAAAGTGTCTGAACAATTCATGCGCAATCTATTGACAGCGAAACATACTACACGTTCGCGACCTTCCCCTTAAGATAAAATATTATTGACAATATGATATTTTTCATTACTACGCACTAATCCGTAAACATAATACATATTATATTTTTAATACGTTCAATGCCCTTGTCGACGGGTAGTTTATTTTTAGTTTATATATTTATTTTTTCCTCGAAATTACGACGACGTTGATCGCCGATAAGAATAGTATACCGTTATTAGTATTTATTATTAGTTATATATTTTGTTTCATTGAAACCGTACGAAACGATTTTGTATACGGAATTATCGTTTTCGTATACGGATTTAACAATTCCGTACACGGAATTAACAATTCCGTACACGGAATTAACAATTCCGTACACGGAATTAACATTCCGTATACGGATTATTACGGTCACTATCGTTCGGAATAATTTTGTAAACCAATATAACAATATAGTACAATCATTATATTATAATTATTAAAATAATTATAATTTTTATCATTATTAGTATTAGTATTATTATTATAATTGTTTGCATTATCATTATCATCATCATCAATATTATCATTATTAGCATTATTATTATAATATATTATAATACATTTTATAATTTTATTGTTTAATACTTAAAAATTATATTTTCGCTGGAAATCAAATATTAATAACAATTCCAAATTATATAACTATGTTATGTTTTGGAAATATATTAAAAATATTTGTATTATTATTATTTAATTTTCAGCGAAAATAGTTTTTTAAAATATGTTAACAATATTAAATAATTGTTAACATTTCGTATGCGGAATTATCCGTATGAACCACGAAAAAAAAAACTCCGTACGAAAATAGAGAATCGAGCAATGTTAATATTATTATAATATATATATTATTTTTATATTATAATGTATAGTTTTATATTATATTTTATGATAGCTTAAACAATTATTTTATATTGTAAACATATCTTAAAAACATATTTTCGCTGAAAATTAAATAATAATAATACAAATATTTTAAATATATTTCCAAAACACAACATAACTAAATCATTTGGAATTGTTATTAATATTTGATTTACAGCGAAAATATAATTTTTAAATATTAAATAATAAAATTATAAAATGTATTATAATATATAATAATAATTTGTTTTGTGGATTATTGTTTTTTGAAAAACAAAAAAAAGTAAATCATTTTGCTTCTGTGAAAAAAATGTATAAATATGTATAATAGAATTATAAATGTATTTATTAACTCACTTATAGAAATCGGTGCTATCAAATAAATCTAGCATAGTTAAGTATCATATAACCATTTTAGAATATAATACTGTAATACATAAATTAATGTTGATTATTGTCAATGGAATATGTATGTTTAATAATATTAAAAACTGTCAATATTATAATATTGCAATACGAGTATAGTTTTAACATTTTCATACTATAATATTATAATATAATAATATATATATAATTATAATTATAAAAATTATTATATTAAAATTATATATGATATTATAGTATAAAAATGTTAAAACTATACTCGTATTGCAATATTATAATATTGGTAGTGTTTAATATTATTAAACATACATATTCCATTGACAATAATTCAATAATCAACATAAATTTTTTTTGTTTTCAAAGTTTTAGCACTGCTTTGTTTATAAAGTAGAGTAAAATAAAAATTTAGCTAAATAATGTTCTACTTCAACTACTAAACATGATGTTCTTTTTACTTTTGCATTGTAACCGGTTTTATAATAATACAAAGTAGTAGTACAATAGTCAATATATTGATAATATTACACCTACTTCACATTTTTACCTACAAATAATTATCACACAATTATTGTTGTGATTTTTCTTGAAAACCCATATGGGATTACTATAGTCGCCGTTCATCCGTCTATGTGCAGTGTGATTATTTTTTTTTGTAATATGACGTCTATAATAAAAAAAGTTAAGTGCTCGAAGATGACACAAGAGCAAAAAAAAGTGTTGACTGACTTTATGGCTGTACACCCTAAATTGGTCAAAGGGAAATTTAGCGACAATTTTTCTAACGCTATGGCGAAAAATTTGTGGGAAGAATTCGCATTGATTTTAAATTCAATGGAAGGTTCAGAAAAAATGTGGAAAGCTTGGCGACGAGTGATTAAAATTGTCTATCCACTCTAATTATAAAAAAAATTAAAAAATACCTATTTTATAGACATGGCATGATTTAAAATCGGAGGCAAAAAAAAAAACAAACAAAAATAATGGCAACTCGAAAAATCACTGGTGGTGGTAGCGGTGTAAAGGACTCGTTCACTGAAATTGACGAGGCCATTGTAGGGTTGATAGGGGAAGTACCTATAAGAGGCGATCCGAAAGTGACCGACTCTGTTGCCACTTTCAATTACAATGCACCTTCGACATCTAGTCAAAGGTATGAATAACGTTAAAATTGTTGCAATACATAAAATTAAAAAAAAATTTAATTTACATTAATAGTTATAACTTGTTTAGTATGTCTCAATCAGGTGATACAGTCGATATAATGGGTATTAACAATTTTGAAATTGATAATACAAAAAAAACTGCTGAAACGTAAGTATTTAATATTTCAGTTACAAATAATATCAGTAAAAATAATATTAAGTAAATAAAAAATAGAATGACTATAATAATTTAATCGACTTTAAATAGGTAATAAACTTCAAGAAAACATGTAAAATGTACACCAAATTCAAATATTTATAGTAATTTTATTTATATTAATACTTTAAAGAACAATAATCGGATGCTAATCCTACTGAAGGCGATATTATTATATGTCAAGAAAATGAGAGTCATTCTTTAATATTTAATACACCTATGAAACAACCGTAAATATAAATTATAATTTTTATATAATAGGAAACTTAATATTATGTAGTTATAATTAACTATGGGTTATTTTTTTTATGGTCGTTGTAGAATACATCCAAAAAATAAAACCAAATCGGATAAATTAGGAGAGGCAGCACAAGCGGTGAAAAACATAGGTGTGTATAGCGAGGCTCAGTCAACCTAAATTAAACCCAAACCTAACCTCTCAACATAAATGTAATTTGTTAAAAAAATAAAGTTATCAAATTGTTTCTTTGTTAGAAATACTTTAAAATGGTTTTTAAACTCATTACAAGTCTGACTTTATTTAACGTTATTATTTTAACCTTGAATGTGAATAATAAGAATAATAATAATAAGCCATGCAACAAATACACAAACATTACTTAATGCAATACTTATTGAAAAAATGAGATTTGATGTTACATAATATAGTCCTATGTACACGGATTTTCATATCATAATATTAAAGTAAAAAATAAGACCACAGTGTACTGTATAAGTTTTTTTCGATGTATTTTATTGGATTAATTAAAAAAATATATATAAAACACAACACACATAAATTTGGATGAAATCTACTAAAACAATTGTAGCTATTATTGGTGTTGTAACATTAGATTTATCTGATATATTAAAGAACGGAGAAATTATAATATATAAAAGTATGCGTTTTAATCAAATGTAAATTTTTACTCAAGACGGCTTTTTCTTCTAAATTTCTTCATAAATGTTTCAATGTTGAATATGGGTCTTCATGAAGAAAGAAATTAAAAAAAAATCTATGTCGCTTAATTTTTTATTAAGGTAGTCAACAAAAGTATTAGCATGTAGAATACTATTTTCGACACCTACAACTTTTTTACTTTTGTTCTGCAACAATAAAAAAAAACCCTAGAACTGGTTGGGATTTCAAATAGTAGATTGTTGCTCTCAGCGATACTTTGAAGTGTGAGAATTGGTAATTCCGTCAAGGTATCACTATAAGCTATTTTGGCATATAAAGATTCATAAATTGTTCTCTCCACATCCATTCCTTCTGTTTGTATAATTGTTAAAGTACTAACGTCACAGTTAATATGGATTTTTAAATGTTCACTGAACAGTTTAACTTTATCGTCACTCGGTAAAGCTAACAGCACTGTAAATTTCTCAAATTTAGCGTAAATTTTCTGATTTTACTTGGATCTGCCACCAACTTTGTTTATCTCTTTAACAAGAGTTAAATAATTTAAACATAACCGTAGCATCATCATTTTAACATTGAAACGAAATGACGATGGACCTCGTATAACGCACTGATGTGTTGTATTACTGATGTTCTCGGATCTAAAACCGTTTTGTAATTGGTATCAAAATAAGTTTTTAAGTCTTCGTGGTCCGAAATCAATCCAAATGTAATGAACAAGGTGTTATACAGGGTGCTTAATTAAGAATAAGACGCTGGTTTTCTCTTAAAATAATAATACACTTTTTTGTTTTGGGAAACGTTTTGGTTTTAT